GGGGGGGGGCTCGTCACTGAATGACATCCAGTAAATTTCTAGCGGGAACCAATCAGAGGGCTGCTGAATAATTTGAATAATTTATCAAGGCCCACGGACACGGTTCTTTCACTTGTAAAGTAGCCAATTACCACCGAGCCGGTGGCACACGATGGGCGAAAACATGTATTTCACACCCATTGTACGTCGACATAAAGCGCTTATACATTACAAACAGAATTTTCGTAGGACTGCCATTACAACTGTACTTTAGTTTGCAGCATGTGTATTGAGAACGAGTATCTTCATAATTCTGCTGGTTGTTTGTAGAAGAACGGCAAAATAAAACAGTTTTCAATACCAACACGACTTAGAAGATAACACGTAATGGAGCCCACTTTTTACGCAGATTGTAGCACTACGTGATGTTACACAAACTAACAGTAGATGTTTTAAGGAATTCACAGAAATGACAATGATAGATAATGTAACGGATAAACATTATACAGCACAAAATAAAGAGTAACAGTAATGTAGTCGTCTTTGCCCGGGTATGGCAAGTTATAGTACGTACATGTATCGGTTCAATCTTTAACGGGTAAGTTGACAGCAACAAGCAAGATGCATAGGTTCTAATACTTTTGTAGCTCACTTGCGTCTAGATTTGGGACGAACCCATGTTACTTTTTCGCCGCAGTTTTTCATGTAGTGGTTACTTCGGCAGCCTTTCCGCTGACGCAAACATACTAGTTTGAGGTTCCACAGTTCTTACAACGTTAGCGCTTGAAGTGGTGTTTTCCAAGTTTGTTAGTCTGGTGATGTTGTCTTTGTTGGCTTGTTTGTCCCTCCATTTTTATGTTTGGCGGCCCGTCTTCGATGGGTTGGGTTTGGTTCACAAATCTCGGCTTCGCTATTAATAAAGATCCGTTCCTTCCCGTACGTAGTGGTCGCTCCATTAGCGCTAGTGCAGCCACATTTGAATGTGTAAAACTTAATGTCAACAGTCCCGTTTTGATTCGTTCATCAAAGGAGATTTTACTAAGGTATGACTTTACTAACTGATTGTGGAAGTACTAGTACTTACTGAAGTAAACAAGAAACAATAAACGCGCTCTGGTTGAGTTCATGGCATTTACATGAAACAAGGTGCTAATAGCCGCTAGTCGGTGACGCGTCAGCAGCCCTATGATTGGTCCCCGCTAGAAATCTAC